GACACTGTTAAAATTATTCCAATCCAAATTATACTTATGATTCAAATGATGATAACCCATATGCATCATCTTGCATTTATTATAATAAACCTATTCACTGCAGCTGAGACTTGTATTTCCTAGTGTACTGGGATATATACATCCCAGCCGCAGTGAATGGGTTAAAACCCATTCACCATTTATTTGCCCAACTCATTAAATGATCTCAATCCTTTTGTAAATCAGCAGCATCCACTTCACAGCTAGCATCACCTTAATATCATCTGCTAATTTAAGTAATTTATTGATTATTCTTTCATCTGTGTCACTGAGCAAAGGTCCTAAGACTGAGCCCTGAGGTACCCCATTTTTAACATTAATCCATTTTGACTGAACTCCATTTGTAACAACCCACTGCTTTCTTCCATCCAGCTACTCTTCTATCCAATTTGCTAACTTATCACCCATACCTAAGAATTGTTTTTTACAAGCCTTTTATGTAGCATTTTGTCAAATGCTTTCTGAAAATCCAGATACACCAAATCTACACCCTCACCCTCAAATACATAAGCAGTACCCTCTTCAAAGAATGTCAAAAGATTTGTAAGGCTAGATTTTTCCTGAGTGAAACCATGTTTACTATCCAATAAAACTCTAAACTTTGTTAAATGACTTTGCAAAGCATCTTTTATCAGACTTTCCAAAACTTTTACCACAACTGATGTAAGACTAATGGGCCTATAACTACTAAGACAATTTTCACGAACTCCCTTGAAAAAGAGGAGTGATATTAGATAACTTCCAATCCTCTGGTACCTGCTCACTATTAAAAAATTTGGCTTGGATTAGTTTTAAGCTAAAAAGACATAAATGTTATTGGATGCTGCCACTGTCCGATGGGTAAATTGGGATTTTCAGCTCGATGCTTGCAGTATTTGCTTGGGTTTAAGGAGTTAATCTAGGGCTGAAATGACAAACATCAATGTTTTTCTCCAATATTCTTCTTTGTATAATAATAGTTATAATTTGCTTCTATTAAACCCACCAAACTTAAATTAGTTTTCTACCTTTTAAGTTCTATATCTTTTTCTAAATCAATATAGACAATTCACTCCCTTGGCTGTTTTTAAGCTAATTTTACTTTGACAACAAAAGCATAGGAAGCCTGAAAAAATTTCCTATACCTATATGTAACATTATACAAACCATACAGTTGGAATACGAAAACTTGATGTTTGTTTTGTTTCCTGATCTGAGATCATGCTATAACATATTTAACTTACTTTAAAGGCACTAAACAACTAATAAGTGGCTGTGAACTTTTAACACATCAGTTTCTTATTCATCTTTCTAATCCAGTAAGTAAATTATCTATATTTTTCTTAGCCTTTAACTTGTATTTATAAATATTTCATTTAATAATATGATTTTAACCTGTATATAATATTACTCAATGCTGAAGTATTACTAGGCAATGCTACTATTTTAAAACTGTACTACATTTCAAGCTCATAAACACAACAGCTGTAGTAAATTTTGAATGTGATATCTACACCTAACCATGGATTAAATTATCACTTTAGTACATTTCTACAGATTAAATTTAATAAAACTTTTGGCTACAATTTTCTTATTGTAGTTTTAATTGCACAAGTTGTACTTTCTGCAGCTGCACAACAACTTTGTTCACTTCATAATACATACACAATTTAAGAATTTATTGTGAAGATGAAAAAAACCTAACTATATATATATATATTTATATAATATCCAAACTAAAAGCAGCATTCCTCTAAACAAAAACACTGAAACCAGAACTTAAGATCCAGTCTCTGTCCAGAATTTCAATAGCCACACAACATAATAGCAATATTCAGTAAAATAGCATACAGTCACTACTTCAGCTACCAGTATTTATCAATAATTCCACCAGTTGAATGACATTCAAGCCAACTAGGTTCTTTAAAATATTAACCGAAAATTACCATCTAAGCTACCAGTCTCTCACCAGGGTGTAAGCAGCTGGATGACACCCAAACCCACAATGTTCTTTAAACAATAACAACCACCACTGTTCAGAATGTCAACATATGAATGGTGCCCTACCAAACAATATTATCTAAGACAATAACAAATATGACATAAGCTAACAGCTTATGTTCATAATGTCAGCAGCCACATATCCTAGCCAATAGTATTCTTTAAAACAATAACACACAACTATTACTTAAGCTACCAGTCTGTTCAGCTGTAAGACGTCTTAGCTAGCAGTATTATTCAAAACAATAACAGACAACTACCATTTAAGCTACCAGTCTCTGACCAAAATTATAAAAGCTACATGAAATCTGACACCAACAGTGTAGTTTTAAAACATCCAAGACCATAACCACTTGTGTTACCAGAATGACAAAAACTGCATGACATCTAATGTCAATAATATTCTTTGAAACAGTAACACAACAGCCATTCTATGTTGACAGTTGTGAGACATCTAAGCTAATAATGTTGTTGAAAATAATGAGTTTCGAATATTTGTACAAGACTACACAAAGGGATATCTGTGCTAGTCATCCCTAATTTTGAACTGATAAACTAAAAAGAAGTCAGCTTGTTAACAGCATCCACTACCAACTCTTTGCTTCTCTAAGAAAATAGTGAGATGTTATCATCACTCTTAAAATGCACCCATGGTTCCAAAGTGTGGAGCAAGGCTTTGTGACAATGAGAAGTGAACCACAGACCCTCGAATTTACAGACTGCCATGCTACTACAAGGCCAAGCCCAACCTAAAAAATATCAGACAACTAATACTTACGGTTTTTGTCAATTTTTTTAAACCATAATGTAAACAGCTACGTGATACATAAACGAATTGTAATTCTTACAATACAATGATAATTACTTGAAATGTAAGTTATAAATGTATCAGGCAGTCCATGGTAAATGTTTGTCAATGTTTTGTAAGTAAATTATTGTATTATAAGCTGATTATAATTCTATCAGCAAACAAAAAATGCCAGTAAATGACAATGTACGAAGGGTTAAGTATGTTACATTAAAACAGTGCTGAATATCCATATCAGGAAGTTACGTGACAACCATTGTCAGTATAAAGTTGTAATTGAATGGTAATATATGGGAACTACATTTTGACATTTTTTGGCAATCCATACATAATGTGATGCCATCAAAAACTGACCCTTTTTGAGAAGATTATGTAACAGCTTTCTGATGCAAAATATTCACACACTTATGTCATATAAGTATGTTCAGTTTGAGGATTTAACAATTTCAAGATGGAGATATTCCTTGCACTTAATAGCATTGGAAAACAAAGGAATATGGATCAAACTGAGGCACCAGAACCATTCAGAAAGATACTTGCAACAAGTTGTACACCAGCTGTGGTAAGGAAAGTGTAATGTCTTGTAACAGGCAAGAAGCCAAAAATAAAAGGTCAGAAGAAAAAGCTGTCCACATGCCCCAACACAACATAATCAAGAAGGATCTCCACTTAAAAAAGCTATACCAATCAAGTTTATACAAGCTGCTTACACAGCATATCTGTTCAACCGTCACATACCTTGAGCAGCCAAAGAATGAAATGGGTCAAGTTGGCAGATGCAGCATCTATGATTTTCTGTGCAACTAGACTGTTGAAATGGGCATTGAGAAATCATCATCCTTGTACGCCAGAGAGATCACGGAAAGCAATCAAGGAGAGGTGATATATTTAGGACATGACACCCTTATGAAGGAGTCTTTTGCAATGCAAACTATGTTGGAGTGCTTGTGTCAAAATACATGGTCATCAGATAAAGTATAACTGGGTGTAGCAACATGGACTGTAACAATACGAGGCTCCAAAATTATTCTAATATAATGTACTCAATCTACGTAAAAGGATTTATTGAAACAGCTTCTATGCATTTTTTAATTTTTAGGGATCCAACAAAAAAACTCAAATATGTATCAGGTTAGCACTAGCCAGTTAGTGAAAAAACTTTTATAGGTGCATGTTAACAATATCCAACTAACACTGTTCATTTTAACTGTTACAACATAAGTCAACATAAATTCATTGAGAAACAAATGACTTGCATGAATGCATGTGTAAGCCTAACTTATTACTGGACAGCTTAGGCAACATGGTAAAATTGAGAAAAAGAGTAGTTTTACATGGTGTGAAGGTCAGTTTAGGACTTTACTTCTGCTAACTCGGTAGGTCATCAGTCTAAGAGCATTAATGTTTTGTGATTGAAATATACACCCAACACACATTATTTAAAGTGATTTTCATATGTAATTACTTTTCAATAGTCACAACTTCTTGGTGGTGTAAACCCTATAAATTTGACCTTTAAATTACCTAACTGTGCAAAAGTGGCAAAGATTACTTTGGGTTAGGATTACTTAATCACGAAGATGTTACAATGATTAGAAACTGGTGTGAAATATTGTAACACTGTCTCAGACATCCTTCAATCACACCTATGATCTAGTATAAATATCAGGGAGCCACTAGAAATACTTTTTAATGAAATTTCTGTATTTTAAACTGTCTATATGTGGAGAAAATGATAGGATAAAAGTTTAATACTGTGGCACATAAAGCTTATTTATTTATTTTCCTAGTAATAATAACCTCTCGAAAACTTGTTTGATCTTCTGCAATTTGAGCTTCTGTCATGACTGGGAAAGTTTGAATAGATGATGGGATTTAAGTGGAATGTCCCATATAACTTCTAATAATACTTATGTCTCTAATTATATTATGATATCCTTTATCTAACTTGTGTACAAGTTATCTATCTTTAAAAACATATACTTCTTAAAAGCTACTGTATAAAATGATAATCCAAACATTAAACTTCTTTCTAAACTTAAATAAAACTTGGTGATATAAAATATGCTAAAAAATAATGTAAATTATATAACACAAAATATATTTAATTCTATATTGTATAAAAGAAAAAGTTACTTTGTCTGTATATGTAAAAAAAAAAATCAAATTTTTAGAGCTAATTCTTTCTTTAATGACATTACAAGTAACAATACTTACCACATGAAGTTTATGTATTATTATTATTACTGTAAGATTACAACTTATTGGTAGATACTTATCATGACCTCATAGGAATAAAGTTGTATGTAACTATTTCACATCAAGCTGATTTGTTCTTACTGTCAACACATATCAATACTTTTCTTAAGGTGATGGGTGGTTACTAACAAGCAAGGAAACCTTACGTACATCTTTAAGTGGCACTACTATCTACTTTAAACATTCTAATGCACATTCACTATACCTCAGGCTTTCATCTGTAGCTACCTTTTCTCTTTTATTCAGTTTTACTGTTACCCATTGTTTATTATGATTTTTCGAACTACCAGCAGTCCATTATGTCTGACCAACACTGTTTATAGATGACACCAAGTTTCTCATGCACACTTCTACCAAACAAACACAACTTTAGGTTAGATAAGTCATAATAAATACAGAAAGTTGTACAACATGCAGGGTGAAAATCAGATATAATTTCACTTTGTAGATTTCTCTGTCAGTTTCAAGACTGTGCAAGAATAAAATAAATATAAAAGTTTGCCTTCTACAAGAATCTTTTAAATGGTGTTTCCTTTTTCTGATAATGTTTTTGAAAAAGCAACGATGCCCATAAGTTGACTGTATTTCTAATCTCAACAATATGTGAGATTGCTTGTTAGAGATAACAACATCCACCTTTCACTTGGGAAGGTACCTAAGAAAGCTTATGTTGACACAGAGAATGGATGGGAGCTACTTGCTAACTTCAGTCTACATGCAAATGAGCCCATTTGATTCAAGTGTCCAGTTCATGAATGTGTCATCTACACGCTTTAGGTACTGTCTGAGAACTGTGTTTGAGCACTTTTTTGTTTCCTCCCTAGTTTCATGAGAGATCATCTTCAAGCCACTGTGGGATGGGAAGTCGCAGTCGAGTAAGAAGTTTAGATAAGGCAATGTTAGAGGAGAGATAAAAAGCTTTTAGAAATTTTTGTGCTAATGGATCAACAGGTGGATAGTGTCTTCCTTTAGTATGACCAAGACACTTTGTAGAGTTTTGCTGCGTAACTTGACAGTAAAAACCCTTCTGGGGAACGTACCTGTAAGAAAGCAACAAATATTCCTTAAAAAAGTTCTGAGTTTTAAAATTCACAAAAATATTATTATTTTATCAATGTTAAAAAAAATGAACAGAATGGTCAGACTGTACACTAGTAATTTCTTGGTAAATAAAGGCTAAATCTAGATGGTATTTTTTTGTAATGCTGTAAATCATATTTAACATAACCAACAGTAATGAATCACTAACATGGCTTATGATAGCACAAAAAATTAAAAAAAATACAGCATACCTTAGTTTATTGGTGAAATCAATGAAAGATGGAATTTTCAGGAATTGCTGAAGTCTGTTTAGAACAATCGCAGGATCACCTTTCAATTCCTCACCATCAATTATCATTAGCTATAAAAAACAACAACAAATTTTGAAAGCTGAGTGAAAACTTTTTATATGTGGACAAATGAAAATCACATAGTTATGAATATCTGTGACAGTGAAAGTGCAGAAACTCATAAAGTTGTGGAAGTTTACAATAATGACTGAGTTTATAATACGGTGAATCAAAAAAAAAAGACCCAAAACCCACATATATATTATATACACATTATCATTATAACAAGCCTAACTGTATTTCTTTGGTTTGCTGACCCAAGCTGTGCTGATGAGCCTTGAACAGGCAAAACTGCAAGAATGTGTTAGGCCTGTACAAAACAGTTATTTTCAATTTTACCTTTGGTGAAAAGAAATCTGTAATATAATTGTTAAACAGTTGATCTGCTGTATAATATCAAATAATAAATTAGGCGCAATGTCATAATATTATTCACCTATCTGAGCCGATTTAGATTACTATATGGTTAATTAAAAAAGAATCAAAACCACCATAAATATTATAGTGAACCACACAATTTGTATACTACTGAAAACAAAATCAATCATACGGTTGCGGAATTTTATATTGATGAATATAAAGTCAGTTTTGTCAATTTATATCATTTAAAACACCAGATAGTTGCACAAGTTAATACTGATGAAAATACAGGTAACTATACTGTTGGAAAAGCTTATATTGATGGAAACAATACAGTTGTGGAAGTCTATGTTAGTAGAAATATACAAAATGCAAATATTCTCATGCACTAAAATGTATCTACTGGCACAACTATTTCAAGGCTATCTGTAGGTGACAGAATCTTATAGCACGTGCAAGTTGACACACAAATTATCTTATAAGAAAGTGATTGATTATTTTTCCAACCTGAGAAGGAGGGTAAAATGCCAACCATCTCTCAAGGTGTTGGGCATACAACCCTGGATTTAGGCAGCGACTTTTCAGGTCTCGTAGGATCTTTGGTGCATTGTCACTAGCAGTTACCACTTCATAAAATGCATACTTTACTGCAGCATGATCTTCATGGGCTTTCATGTGCTATAAAAGACTATATATGAAATTCAAAAGTCCTATTTTTAAGCTGATTACTTTATTTCATAAAAATAAACATATGAATGAGAAATAGCAAAGATCATAATTCTATTACATGTACAAGTATGTAACTAAAACAGAACCGATGAAAGTTTGACATTATTACACTGATTTACTTAAGGCATTTGAATTTTATTATTAATAATGCAAATTGCCTTAACTTGGCATGCTTCCACTTATATATAAAAATGCTAACCTTACTTAGGTCATCATAAAACTTTTACAGAAACCAACCGGAAATATATTAGTTTAAAGTGTTTGTTTGTTTCATTTGTTTGCTGATAAGCACAAAGGTACACAATGGACTAACTGGGCTATTGAAACTCAGTTTTTATTGTTATACACCTTGAAACTTACCACTAAGTCATTGGGGTGGGGACTAGTTCAAAGCATTTAACAAGTTTAAAACAAAAACTGTTCAATGAAATAATCAATAGTACAATAGATGTGTCTGAACACACAAGTGTAGCTCTTGAAAAGTTGTGATGCTGACTGTAAATAAAAACACTAATAAGACCTTAGAAAAACCAATCTGACATAAAAACCGTCAGTATGAGAAACATTATATTGGATCTAAAAAAGCTTTTAAGGACTATACAATAAAATAAATCTACACTCAAATTTAAACTGGATTGAACTGTAACAGACTGTAAGTGACCAACATTTTTATTGATGTAGATATGAAATAAGCTTATAAAAGGTTTGGTAAATATAAATAAAAAATATACATGTAACTTCCAGTCACAGTAAACAAAGCAACATGATTTCCTTCATACAATTATTAAATGAACAGATTTCTTAAGGACTGTTCTTACCTCAGTTCGTAAAATGGGTGGAATTTTGGACCTTGTGAAAAAACCTTTCAAAATGAAGTCCAAAATGACATTCATCTAAAAATTCAAGTCAGAAGCAGTGCATAGAATATGTCAACCCCTATAAAGGTTATGTTGCCTGAGCCTAAACAAATTTTAGAAAAAAAATCAAAACTGTCATTTACTTACTAGTTTTGATCTAATAACTTCTTTGAATAAACTTAAAAGTTAGGGGTAGACATGAATTGATTTCATGTATTAAAATATATAAAATATTTTCTACCTGGTACCATGAGTAGGCCCTTTTAATGGGGCTGATCAGAATTGTAACAATTTTGGCATGAGGTAGAAGTGCATGGGCTCTTACAGGAACTAATTCTCCATCAAAATAAGTTGCACTCTTTTCAAACATATAACTGCTACTGGAATTTGTGGGTATAGGAAAAAAATTCATGTACCTGCAAGGTAAACAATAATTAATATAAAAAAAAATACATATTAATTTTTTAGAGTACGTAAAAGCTATAAAAGTACTTACAAAATATATGTTAATAATAATTCTCTGTTATAATATTCCATTCTGTCATTTTGTTGTTAAGTATTTATATCATTGTGTTGAATAGTTGCGTAATGCATTCTCTTGAAAGAGCAGCAATAATCAATAAATTCTGTTAGTCTGTTTGAGGCAAAATCATTTTAAAATGCATTCCACTCTTTCCAAGGTACATATTTTTGAAAGATTTAAAACCTCTTACATTATGGGTTAATATATTAACCAGCATAAAATTCTTACTAAGCTAAATACAGTTAGTATGATATGACACACTAACCTTACTAATCCAAGAACAGTCAATACAATTGGTATAAAACTTGCCAGTTCATGACAGTCAACATCAATTGTCACACTATTCTAACCAATCCATGTACAGTCAACATCAACTTGCACACTAATCTTACCAATCCAATCCTTTAAAGTAGTTATTCCCATTAAAAAACTGCACTTCTTCAAAGGTTTCACCACTTGGATGATTACTAACAATGACAGGATGCATTGACAGAAAAGTGTAGAGAGCAGTGGTACCTGACAATCAGAAAATGCAATAAATTAGCCACACCAATATAAATCAGCAAATGAGAAATTTCTTTGAAAATAACTGGAGAATAATCAATATCCTACCTGTTTTTTGGGGTCCAATGACTAAAAACTTGGGAAGCTGATTACATGCCTTTTTACTTGACCAAATAGCTAGGTGTCTTTTATCTAGACATGGGTTCTGAAAAATAAAAACAGGGAACAAACAAGATTTTTTTACATGTTTTATGAATACCAACAATACTGATGGCATCCAAACTTGTTTAAATGAGGTATCCCAGCATTACGACTGAAACTTTAGTTTCACCACAATTTAACATGATGAAATGGTGCTTGTATTGAATTTCTGTTTGTTTTTTAAATTTTAGTTATGGAACTTAAAGTTCTAATACTGAAGATAATACATGTAATTTTATACTTTAAAATGATAAATAAAACTAAAAATAACAGATACATTTTATAATAATAAAAAATACTGTATATTTCATAATGATGAAAAATACTACAGTAAATACAAATTTTTTCACCTTGTTATTCCTTTTCCTAGAAAGTAAAAATTCCTCATCGTAAAGAATTGGATAAAAGCACAGCAAATAAAAAAAGGTTCCCTTACTATGTGTTACATTTCCAAATTAAAGTTGTAAGTACAAAACAGGTAACATGATAACTAAACAGATAACTTTTCTAAATGTTCCAAGATTGCATAAGCATTCAGCTTTATTTAACACACTATGAATCAACTGCCATGAAAGAAAATAATTCACCTGCACTGTATCCACCACAATACTGGGTTTAAACTTTCAGCTTTACACTGTATCATATTTTAAGTTGTTTCTACACTTACAACATTCTATGAAAAAAAGTCTACAGATAACTTTTCTAAATGCTCCAAGATTGCAATTATTTATTAGGAAATAAGATACACAGCATAACCAGTGGGTTGAAACCCTCTCGAGGTTCGCGGGCTGTCAATGCTGAGTCAACATATTATGTAAATAAATAAAGTTGACATGTTTTTTCATCCTTGTAGAGCTAATGGGAGGCTGCAATCACCAAAGCCCAGATGCAGGGGTTGTCTGGCAAATCCAACTGAGAAACACTGGTATAAACAATACATACAAAAAGGAACAAATAAGTCTTATTATTATTAGCCAGTGTTGTATGCTTATGTGAGTATGTGGTAGCTAAGCATGATTTCACCCATATACCATCTGCACCTTTACTTTATGCACAAGTTCACAATAAACACTAATAAAACAATCTCAGACTTGTTCACTTCTCTTGTACATATTATTCTCTCTTTTATCTCTAATACTTCTTCATAAACATAATTCATCCTCACTTCATAGTGGTTAATGTACCAGACTATGAATCTGAGGGTTTGTGGTTCACATCCCATTGCTCTGCACTTTGGGATTGTGGGTGCATTATAAGAGCAATGGTCCAATTTTTTTATTCAATTACAGTAGCTCAAGAGTTGGCAGTGAATGCTGTTGACTAACTGCCTTCCCTCTAGCCTATCAATTGAAAATGAGGGATGGCTAGCATAGACAGCCATTATGTAGTTTTTTACAAATATCTGAAACTAACCATCCATACTTTTAATAAATATTTTTTTTTTGTGGTAGGAAAAAGAGGGCTTAGAGCAAAATAGGATTTTGTCTTATTCAGCCACATAATGCATAATCCTTTCTTTTTTTACTGGTCATTCTTAAACAATGATAAGTTTTAAATGCATACCGTAGTTCATTAAATCTACAATTTAAATTTGTATTGTAACATGTGCACTTATGTTAAATGCCAATGTACTCAGAAACAAAAGTCACTCTGACTATGGTAAAACTCCAGCTTCCAAAGTTCTTTTTTAAACCTTTACTGCATGTACAGTTAAATCATTTAAAATCTAAATATCTCTGCACTGAGAATTTATTTTTTTCCAGTTCAGTTTATTTCTCTTCTAGTTCTTTCCTGTAGGCATTTAACCTCACAATATACTTCCACTCAAATATTTCCTCTGCTCTTTCACCAAATTTGTCAGATGAAGTTTCTTGACTGTGGATGTCTGAAGATTTTTTAGAGCACTCAGCTTTTTGAGGTTTCTGCATTTTACCAATTCTCCTGCAGTAGCCATTAGCTCAGCTTGCAATTCATTATTCAGAGAATATTGCTGTTCCTTTTTTAACTAGTAAGTTAAAGTGAAAATAAGGTGCAAGTCTATTGTTTATAAAGTAAGAGTTCTTCCATTCTCCAGAGACAGAGGATCTTTCAATGTCCTTCTGGAAACATCAAAGTGAACAAATGAGAGTTAAACTCAAAGCTTTTGTAAGAAGTGTGAAAGAACACAATGCAGGGTCAATGCAATCTCTGTAATGCAACAGTTCTAGGATTATGATTCAGGAACTGGTTTGTTACGAATTTCATGCAAAGCTACACGAGGGCCATCTGCACTAGCCATCATCACCCACTGCCACCTCTTAGGCTACTCATTTACCAATGAATAGTGGGATTGATGGTGACATTATAATGCACCCACAGCTGAAAGGGCGAGCATGTTGGGTGGAATGGGCATTCGAACCCATGACCAGCAGTTTGCAAGTCAAATGCCATAACCACCTGGCCATGCCGAGCCTTTCAGGAACTGTGGACTGCTCTTCATTATTTATCTAAAATGACTAAGTCTTATTATTATTAGCCAGTGTTGTATGCTTATGTGACTATGTGGTAGCTAAGCATGATTTCACCCATATACCATCTGCACCTTTACTTTATGCACAAGTTCACAATAAACACTAATAAAACAATCTCAGACTTGTTCACTTCTCTTGTACATATTATTCTCTCTTTTGTCTCTAATACTTCTTCATAAACACAAACTCAAAATTTACAAAACTGAAATAACTGGCTGATAGAAAATAGACAAACTGACTAAACAAACTCATGAACTCAATAATCAATTATCTATTTATTCCATCCTAACTCTCTCTTTTTAATATGGCTATATTATTTCCTGAACTTTCACAAAGGATCCAGTCATTAAGCCATGCCCATCATGTGACATGAAAACTTCCTCTAGGTAAAACAACAATAGCAACATATAAATTAAAATTATAGCCTATAACATCACTCATTAACTCAATTAGGGCAGATGGAGTATTCCCATCCTCAGGACATCACCTCCTTTGTTTATCATCAATGACTGATTTATTATAGCCTTGGAGATAATGTCCATGTTTTTCACATTTACAGATGTTTCTTTTCTTCTGTCATCCTTTGGGAGCAGTTTTATTTTTTTAGAGTATTTTTTATGCAGTTCTTGGTAATATCTCCCTGCCATCTGTCCTGTGATTTACTTCTTTCATTATGAGAAACAGTTGTCTAATTAAAGGTTTTTATTTTCTCTTCCTTGCAAAATACCCTTTTAACTTCAAATTAAACTATCTTCTTGCCTAAAGTTTATTTCTTCCATTCTAAGTAAACAGTCATCTAATTAATCCTTTGAGTTTTTCTAGACCTCCATCAGAGAGAGATGTTTCTATATTATTTGATCTGATAATCTCATAATTCCCAGCTGGTGCCATTAGTTATTAATCTGCAACTTGAATTGATTCAAGTTCCAACACCAACAGGAAAGTTTTCTTCACAAATGTAAACCTACTTTGCTTTAACATAATGATCCTCACCCATTATTGAATCTATGAACTGCTTACATGCCAAAGAATCCATCAACTTATATGAGGTATTTGGATAAGATAACTTGGCTAGACCTTTAGGAATTCCAGCTAAGTTTTGTCATTCCTCCTTAACCTGCTCCTATATTTTGCATTAGAAACTTCTTTCTATTTGACACTCCAAATCTGTATGATAACACGGTCACTAATGTCCGATAGTTGTTATGGCTCTGTTGGGAGGTTGCTTAATGTTGTTAAAAGCAGCAGATTAATAATTTACAGCAATCCCTCTTAGATATGACCAAACTATCCGCTATGATAAAAAAAAAGTCATATCTGACAGGAAGTCATTATTCAAAGGATCAATAACCAAATAATGAACGATCAAGTTCAAGCTGTGCCAGTCGCTATTGCTAAGGCTTGAGCATAATGATTTATATACTGTAAAGGTAATCAGATAATGTAGAAAATGGTGTAATAATACTTATGATGGATAACAGTTTAATAAAAATACCTTAAAATTGTTTTGTTTGTGATTTATGTCAAACTAATGTATAGCCTGTCAAAAATGACAGGGCAAGTACTACCATCCCCACCCCATCCCTAACCTCACATTTCATAGTTAACTGAAATAAATAAATTTTGCAAAATCAAGTTTGACCAACAGAGATGCAAAAAAGTGCAGTCAAACACCAGTAAATTTCTTTGTGAGCTAATCAAAATTACAATCATTCATGAAATGTATTGTATTCATGTATTGATAGTGTTACGTCTCCGTTTGTTAATTGATTTTCCGTAACTTCGTTCCGACGAAACTTAA